TAAAGAGTACAATTAATATGGGGTGCTATAACTTCCTGTGGGGTTTCACACATCATTGCATCATAATGTAAGAGAAGGGACCACCACTGGCGTGAATGTGCTCCAGCCATTTTTTTCCATTTTTGTATCCTTGCATCATTTAGAATCCTGGGAAGGAGAGATTATTGCCCTGTGTTGGCTTATGTGCCCACCCCTTTGATTTGTTGTTATGGCTAGACAATGTACAACATGAGTGTGCATATCCTGAAAGGAAATTGAAGTGCTCTTGAGGTGGGAAAATGGATGCCACAGGTGGGACTGGAACAAGTTTCCTTCCTCTCTGGATGTAGCACATTGCCAAGGTTGGGAGCCGACCAGACCCTGTCAGAAACCTCATCATGCAGGAAAATGAGTAATTATGCCCTAGCACACATTATAATGCAGAAAGTATAATAAGATTTATTTATAATATTTAAATATTATATTTTAAAATTACAATTTAAAAAATTTATGCATTCCTCTGTTGAATGCACACAGCATGTTTTAAATATATGATCCCATTTGACCCTCAATAATCTGTTAGTTTCTAGTCATATTCTACAGTGACCTCATTGTAGTTTATATACACGTTTGTGAACTAGCCTCAGACTCTAACCACCAATAACTGATTTCATGAGAAAATGTGTTCTGAGTTCCAAACAAATGACGAACAAATGAGTGCCCAAAGGCTTGTAAGCCAAGGTCTTACTGGTCAGCAGGCTCATGTCAGGAGGTGTGCGTGGGCAATGGAGAACAACTTTCATGTGCTCCATCCTGGCCACCAGTGATGTTGGCTGAGTGCTCAGCAATGCCAATTTGGGTGACCCCAAGCATCTCTCTACTAGGAGCAGTTTGGGAAAAATGCAGTTTTTGGAATTCCAGGTGGTATCTAAGATCCCTCAGGGAGGTAGACATGTTCATATAACAGTTCTGTAGCGTTTCCTGTTATAACCAGAAGGGTTCAACTGCTTGAAAGGAGAATGACTGGATCAAAATGGCAACTCAGGGCCTAAAGGATTCCAGTCAGAGACAGATGTTCTCATGTAGATAATGCCTCTGAATGGCCTGGGAAAAAGGAGCCAAGTGCCCTGGATCTTTTCCGTGGGCTTCAAGCTCTTTCTCCTCTTCATACTGTCATCCTTTCAGTATTGGGCAGGAGCCATGATTGCAGGCATCCTGGTCTCTGTGAACTTCTTAAGTGTATATATTATCACACAAAAGCTACAGTGTTGCCCCACAGGCCACTGACGACATTTTAGTCACTTCTGCCAATTGCTCAGCCAAGGCCTAACGTTTTATAACATGGCACCAAAGATTGTATCTATAATTGGAATGATTTTTGAAAACAACCACTTCATTTAGATTTTTCTATTTTTAACCTAAGGTATTCTGCAGCGGAAATAAGGAAACAGTTTACTCTCCCACCAAACCTCGGCCATTACCAACGACAGAGCATCAATACTTCTGGGTTCCCCTCTCTTCAACTAGTAAGTATGAGTTACAGGTTTGCCTAGAGCACGGTCAAGTGCCGACGTGCCCAGTGTTTGCTTTTGCTTCCTGATTTTCCTTAGGTCTTCCCGCTGCTACCTTACACCTCCAACCACCAGTTCCTAGCTCTGTACCCACTTTTTGAGGTCAGACCACTTCTCTCCCTCCCTTCCTCCCTCCCTCACCTAGAGCTTAGACTAACATGGACCTCCAGGGGTGTGGTTCTTAAGTCTCTGGGACTTCCGGGCTACTTGATTTCACCCAAATTATAATTCATATTTTGGATAGGGGGAAGATTAGCCTGGAACCTTACTACGATTTGTAACCTGCTTTTGTTGAAAAAATATATTCCCAAACCTGAACAGCCAAGTTCTGAACCTTAATTTTTTTAAAAATCATTTTCTTGGAAAGTGTAATTTACATATAATAAAATNAGTATATGCTCAATTTTGGTAAATGGTTCAATGTCCACAAAAAGAATGTGTACTCTGTCATTAGGTGTAGTTTTTTCTGTATAGGTCAATTAGGTCGTTTGTTTATCATGTTCAAATTCTATAAATCTCTAATTTTTAAAATCTACATGTTCTATTACTTACTGAAAGAGGTGTGTTAAAAATATTTCACTATAATTGTGGATTTGATATTTCTCCTCTCCTGCAGTTCTTTAAGCCTTTATCACTTGGTACATACATGTTTAGAATTGCTATATCTTTCTGATGGATTGACCTTTGACATTTAGGAAACTTCCTCTTTATCTTTAGTCATGCTTCTTGTCTTACATCTTTTTTGCCTGGTATTACTATAGCTGCACCAGCTTTCTTTTGGCTATTTTTGCAGAAGTTTTTTTCACCACTTTGTAAACAGTTTATCTAGGCATTTACCCAAGAAAAATGAAAGAATATGTCCATATAAAGACTTGCACATGAATGTTCATAGCAGCTTTATTTGTAATAGTCAAAAACTGAAATAACTCAAATGTCTACTAAGAGTTGATTGGATAAACTGTGGTATATGCATGCTATGTAATACTCCTGCATAATAAAAAGAAATCAATTATCGATATACACTATAACACAGATAAATCTCAAAATAATTATGCTGCATGAAAGAAGCCAGACCAAAAAAAATAAAAAGAAATAAACTGCATGATTCCATTTATATAAAATTCTAAAAAAATGCAAACTAATCTATAATGACAGAAAGCAAATTGGTGGTTACCTGGGGGCAAAGGTAAAAGATTAAGAAGGGGCATGAGGAAACTTATTTGCCCTGACGCCATGATGGTTTCATGGGTATATACATGTGTCAAACTTATAAATACACTTTAAATATATGCAGTATATTGCATGTCAATTATACCTTAATAAGTGTGTTAAAAAAATAAAGTATGTTTCTTGTAAGTAGCATAGTTTTTTATGTAATTTGATTATTTTTTGTCTTTTAATTGAAGAATTTACCTGATTATATTTAATATAATCACTGATATATTTGAGTTTAAATGTATAATTTTACTGTGTTTTTTATTTTTTTCTATCTGTTTCTTGTTTCAGTAGAGATTACAACAATATGTACTTGACATATTAGAATTCTAATATTAATTGGCACTTTATCATTTCCCAAACAATGCAAGAATTTTAGAACATACTCTGTTTACCTCCTCACCTTTTGTGTTATTGTTGACATGTATTTTAATTTATGTATGTTTTCAACTTCACATTATTATCATTATCATAATTATTTTGTATAATCACTATCATTGGGATTTACTTATGTATTTATCCTTTTGGTGTACTTCCTTGCTTTCAGAACTTCTGTGCTTCCATCTGGGGTCATTTCCTTCTGCCTGAAAAACTCTTTACTG